AAAAAGGTGCTTCTGCTACAAATGATCTTTCTGTTTTTTGATTGTTATTTCTGAAAAGAGGGAGTTCTGATTTGGTCTCTACCCTAGCCACCTACACAGGCAGGCAGGAAGACACAGACGAGGACCACGGAGCATGCAAAGAAGATCACCTGCTGGCTGCCAGGCGCCCGACAGGGAGGTGGAGAAGGGGGAGGAGAGAGTGTGATCACTTTTTTGGGGCAGGTCCGAGAACACTCCTTTTCCCGTCGCTTTTACACCAACAGACACAAACAGAGAGAACATTGGTGAAACAGGAGCCATGTTTTGGCTGGTTCTAGAAAGACTAAAGGGCATCTGCCAAAACCATCCCTCCCTTGCCTCTCCATCCTCAACAGCAATCATTGTATGGTTAGGGAGGATGGCTTGTCACAGTCGATCGTTGGCCTCTGGGTCACACTTGCGCTGTTTGGTAAGTACAGACCACATGGGTAATCTCCGCAGCTGGCCTTGGGGTCAGAACTTGCAGTGTAACACTTTCTAAATGCCAGGGATCAAGGGTATATTCTTTGTGAGTTTTATCAGAGAAGCTGAGGACAGAAGAAATGGGCTTGGACGTAAGTAGAGAGAAAGGGCACACAGGCCAAATAGCACGAGGGGAGCATGAAGACTGTCTCCTGATGGCTCAGTCACCTCTACACCCACCAGCAGCAAAGCAGCACTCTCCTTGAGGGCTCACCCAAGACAAAACCCTGCCATGGCTTCCCTCTTCTCAGTCCCCTCACTCACGCTCAAAAGGTTCTGGAAAACTACCAAGGAAATACAAGAAAGTACAGGAAACAGAATATAAAACTTAAATATCTTTCACTAACCGAACACCACACATATCCATGGATTATTTCCCCATTTTGCCCCTCTCCATTGTACTCCCTTCCTATGAATCTATGATTTAGAGAACTCTTTGGTACTTAGGGAACAATGACTTATTTCTAGGCCAGAGGAATCCTCCATTTCCTCATGACCAGTATGACCATGTGGGGCAGCACACAGGTGAAGTATGGGAGGGAAAGAAGAGGTTGTGAGGCCAGGGGAAAGAGCCCCATCATCTACTCCAACTTCACATGATGACTTACTTCCAAACGAAGGCTGGTTGCCTGCAGGATGCATTTCTGAGATCAAAAGGTAGAAGGGTGGGAAAGGAAGGGCCAAAGTGTTTACACAGGAAGGTAAAAAAGAGAAGTCACTGGCAAGCAAAATTGTTATTCATTTTTCCTCTTCCATACCATGACCTAAGTGAAAACTGATCCTTGTGCCAACTCAGCCACCATGGCTGTGCTTGCCACACCCTCCTGCCTCAATCCAAACCTCTTCAAGAAAAACAAAAAGTGAGTCATGGTAAGGTATTGCCAGTCAACCCCTCAATCCTAAAGGGAGAGAAACAGGGTTGCAGACAGGATGAGTCAGAAGCAGAGGGCCAGTGGAGCACACCACTGGAGTTCTTCTGTTCCCACATTTCTGGAGCATGTGGCACTGCCTGCCAAGGTTCTCTTTTAGGAGATAAATTTACAAGGCCAAGACTCATGATGCCACCCCTGATTAGTGCTGAGAAAAAATTACATGTAACTGTGAGTTGCAGTTCTTTCACAGCCAAGTAAACTCACGTTCCCAACTCCATAGAACAATGATCTAACAGGATTTTCATTGTTCATGGTTTTTCACTTACCAAGATCTACCCAGATACCCTTTCCACTGTAATCTCTGGTACCCACTCCATAGAACCCAGGTTTGACTTCAATGGCTCTATTCTGCTACCCAAAGAGCCTGGCAATATTCTGCTTCATTGACTGTAACCATATATTACCCAGATGACAACCTAGCTATATGTCTCCATGTAGCACCCCATACAAGGTTAGAGGTCACCAGATGTTTCACAAACAGGTCCACAAACACCAAGCTCTTGTCTTGATGCCCCTTTGGTACAGTTCCATCAGGTGATGAGCTGATGTACCAGTCTTCACCAGGACAGGGGCCTCAGCTGAGCGAGTCTCCTCGGGTCACACTTAATACCTCTGAGACCTCCCAGGAAGCCAACTCAAAGCTGCTCTGGGCACATGCCTTTTAAAGTCATCAGTTCATCCATCTACACATGTTACTACTGACTTCCCTTCTGTTTTGCTCCTTGCACCTCAGAGGACCTTTCTGGACATTGTCAGAATCTAGAGTTTGGGGGAACCTAGTTTAGAGTTCACTTTCCCCTTCAGCAGATCCTCAACTAAATATTACCTTTCAAATCATACAACCACGTAGACTTCAAGGCAAAGGGTAAGAAAATAAAATGGAATTTCTAATGAACTTTGTTTATTTGTTTCCCTAGGCATAGAGAAAGAAGCAGGCTGGGGTCTGTTGTGAGTCTGGACATTGCTCCCTAGCTTCCATTTCAGACTCATGGGCCCTGCATTTAATGTGGCATATTATTAAAAAAGAGGTTAGAAAGGTAACTTTTGCCTTGAATATAATTCAAATAAAACCCACCTGCCACTCCCTAGCACCTCCCAGCAATACCTGGCACTCTGCAGCACAAGAGGAAATTGAGGGTTAGCTCACCTGACCTCTCAGAATCTTAGTCCTAAATGATACCAAACCATAAGACAGAGAATCCAGGCTGCACTCAGTAGAGCAGGAACTTGCTCAACTGTGACTTGGGAGAAAGAAAATACAGTAGAGGCCCCAATCTTTCTGATGGGCTTCCTATTATCAGCCAGGTGCAACTCCCCACCCCCTTCTTTCTGTCCTATCCTATACTGCTAATGAGCAGCTAGGAGATCCTGTAAAAACTTCATTGAAAATTTCAAAGAGTATTTTAAATGGAGACAAAACACCTAGAAAATGCCCACCATCATCTTTGTTGAAGGTCTGAAACAAATAAAAATCATAGTTTGAGACTATTTCTCGGCTAACATTTTCCTATTTAACATGAAAGGCTCCACTGCCCCAATTCTCAGCCTTGCTGAATTCAGGATTCTCCCTGCAGTGGTTACAAGGACACATGTAAGCAAAATGTCAACTTGGGACAAAGGTAATAATGGTAAAACTGTAGAAGCTAAGGTAGCTAAACTACTTCCCACATAGCTTTAGCAAGTTTCAACACCAAATTAACCACCTACCCTTTTAAGTGATTTCTCAAATCCCAACAAGTTAAACAAATCATGCAATACAATCAGTATGGTCTGTTAAACTTCCCCCCACAGTTGCTACTCAAAAGAGTACAGAAGTTTCCTGTCCTTGAGAGCTAGGATTCTAAAGTGTAGGAGGCCTCAGCTGTGGCTGGTTCAGAGGGAGGAGTGGGGTTGGAAGGCCCAGGGAAGCAGCACCCATTCTGGTCCCTGGGCAGCAGCTTTACCTGTTTCCACTGGGGGGTGGGAGCAGGGCGACCCTGCTCAGGTAGGCAGCAGGACGGCTGGCTGACCCCACGCTCTTGTGTCGGCTGTGACACACAGGTCAAGTATGGGTGGGGGACAGGACATGGAGACAAAACAAAATAAAATACATTAAGGTAGGAGAAGACACAAAAAAGATACTCATGCATGGCAGACAGACACATATCTATGAGCTGGGAGTGGGGGGAGACACGGAATTAATTCTTAGAAAGTTACACTTATAACAAAAACAAGATACCCTACCCCCGCAAACCAAAAGCAAATGCAAAAGGAAAAAAAAGAGGCAATCCAAAGCTGGAATTTTCATTATCCTCTTCCTTAGCTCAAAGCTCTGAGCCTAAACTACTAATTCAGGTTTGGAAAACTAATCTTTCTACTCAAAATGAGGAAAACAACCTTCTCTTAAGGGCAAACTTCCTCTCGTGGAGAGCATTCCAGCCTTCCCAAAATGGGGCAGATCCTGCAGTTGCCAGGCAACCTCAGATGTTTACCAATGAATATTATCATCTTCTCTATGAGCCATGACACGCATGATTGGAGTGTGAAGATTAATAACCAAAGGCTAAATGTGAGAAGAAGTTAATTATGGCCAGACTCCAAGCAAAGTCAGTAGCCCCCTCAGCCCTGGTCAATTGGAACAATGGCTGATATATATGGAAAAGATGAAGAAAGAGAGTAAAAGAATAAAAAGAATGGGGTCCCTTTCCTCTGGATGTTCTCTCAGGTCATTAGGGAGTTTTACAAGAAATTTTTTGTGTAAATCTCAGAATCCCAGCACCTCCTCTTGTAAGACATCTTTGTGACTTTCAGACAAGCAAGAGGGAGACAAGACATAACAAAGACACCTCAAGTTAAATGCTCCTGTCTAGCACTCTCTGGTTTGACTTATGGGAATGAAAGTTAATTTCTACGATGACTCTTTAAAATGTTCATAACTCTTGAGGATAGCCTAGGAAAACCATTTGCAGCACACAAAAGAAGATCTACCACAAGAATGTTTATTACCTCTGTACTTTATCATGAAAGATGAGAAACAATGAAAACATCCAACACCAGAGAAGAGTTAAGAAAAGCATGGCACAACATGGGAATATGCCCAAAGTTATGTGAACAATGCAGAACAGGAAGTGTATATTAAGAATGACCTCAACTATGGAAACAAAAATGACTAGAAAGAAACAACAAAATGTTGACAGAATTAGAGGTGTCTTGATTACCTTTATTATAGTTTTCAGCATTTTCCTCAATAAACATCCACCTCTTTCATAATTCAAATATGTTTGCATGTATATGAACATATAAACAAGTATAGATATATACAGAAATTTAAAACCCCTCTTTGGATTTTTTTGTCACAGACACCTCACACCTGAATGGTGAGGATAAAGCAGTCCTGAAAGCACACAAGGAGCTTATAAAACACTTTTTCTCTGCTGCAGTCAGACAAGGGGAAAACCAGACACCAGTCTTGAGTGCATGAACACTCGGCTGAGACACACCCCATCCCATTTCACTTGACTGAGAAGATCCCTCCTTCCTATGTGGTCAGACCAAGTGTGGATGGGTGAGATGTAACATGGGGTTTACCTGTCTCCTCATGCCAGTGGACTGTGGAGGTGCATTCTCTTCAAATTTGGCCAGCAGCTGGGTTGCCATGTATTTCACTTTGTTCTGATTGCCAAGGGCCACATCCATCCTCCTGTCTGTCAGAGTGCTCACCAGTGTGGGCCTTCCTCCTCTGTAGCCCCGGGGTGCTTCCTCCTGATAAACACCAACACCCAAAACCTGGCCTCTGTTACATAAGCCCCCCCGCCACAGATGCCCTTCCCTCAAAGAAGAAGGGTGACCAGTGCCTGGCAAGGTGGCTGGTATTTTTGCTTTAGGTTAAGCTTAACAGCTTCCCTTAAGGTTCTAATCTCAAGATGCCGTCAGGAAGACTTTGGTGCATGGGGCAGTATAAAGAGGTACTTGGACTTTTGCTGGTATTGCTGTATCTCAGAAAAGTCACTGCCCTCTGCCAAATATGTAATTCTAAAGGGACAGGAAAGCACCAGGGCACACGTGTCTGCTCCCTTGGATGTTCTCCAAAACATTAAACAAAGGCAGAAGCCCAATGAAAAAGCATCTGCCCACAAAAATTCTCATAAAAAATGAATATGAGGGGCGCCTGGGTGGCTCAGTCGGTTAAGTGTCTGACTTCAGCTCAGGTCATGATCTCGTGGTTTGTGAGTTCAAGCCCTGCGTCGGACTCTGTGCTGACAGCTCAGAGCCTGGAGCCTGCTTCAGATTCTGCATCTCCTCCTCTCTCTGTCCCTCCCATGCTCATGCTCTGTCTCTCTCTGTCTCTCAATAATAAATAAACGGTTAAAAAAAAAAAAAAAAGAATATGAAAAGATCTAGCAATATCAATTTGGAAATTAAGGATTTAAGCCAAAAAGGGCAATTTGATCATTCTAGCAAATCCCAGATAATTCTTACCTCTTCCGATTGACTGGTCTTTCTCCTCTTTCCAGCACCATCCAAGTCCTTTTCCTTTTTATCCTATACCAAGAGAGGAGGGACACTGCGTTATCCTAGGCACTATAACTTGCCTTTAGGTTTGCAGTAAGTCAAAAACCTCTTCCATTTTACCTTGGGAGAACGTTTCCGAGAGATGGTCTGCCCAAGTTTGCTTAGGAAGGAGATGGGAGATTTGGTGCTAGCTATAAGGACTGCTTTCTCCTCAGCATTCAGGTCCAAGGCATCTGTGAACAGGAAGCAATGTTTGAGGACAGCCCTGGAGGGGGCTTCAAAGTACTGACCAGGAATACCTCCTTGCAGGTGGCTCAAAGAACCTCAGAAAATTCTAAAGGCTCATCTGCTCTGACAAAACCAAGGAGAACTCAGCAGGAAATTCCACAAAGGAAATGCACACTTAGGTGTGGATGTTGAGCTTTTTCTTTTCCATCCATGTAAACAGAACCAACTTTTTCTTTCAATCCACTTCGGTCAAAAAAACCCTCCATTTTTGCTTTTCAAAAGTTGGAATCTGCCTATGATTGTTAGTTACAATTGACTGCTAAAGCCTCACCTTTGTGATAAAAATTTCAAGGTGGAGGGAGAAAGGGAGGAAGGGTATGTGGTTTAGGGTCACTGGTTTTGATTATGCATTTAGCGGCACATAAAGGCAGGGCTCTCCCTAAATAGGTATACTGATGCTACAGTGTGGATTTCTGCTGTAAGAACTGCATATTTTATCAGAAAAAGCCACGGACATCTCTATGAGTAAGTGGACTGGAAGACATTGGAGAACCACCAACTCTGTGGATTCTAATGTTTTATTAATAATGCTAATAATTTTTTAAATAATTGAAACGAATAATATACTGCAGGTATTTGTTAAGTCCTTTTGTCTGCCTAACATTCTCCTTAGCATATCACAATTTTATGTTATACATACATAAAATCCAGTTTGCAGATGGGAAAACTGAGGCACAGGGAAATTTAGTAACTTGCCTAAGGTCAAACAGGTCAAAGAACTGGGAAATAAGCCCAGGTCGGGTACCATGGTGAACACTCTAAAGCATTATACTACACTTACACCAAGGGACAATAAATGACAACAGGGACATTTTTTTGTAGTACAGTACTCTGGTAGACTGAGGCAGCAGGCTAAGGGCCAAACAAAGACTTTGGAAAGCACTAAAAGGTAGGAGAAGAGAAAGAAGCCATAGAAGCAACAGTTACAGAAGAAAGAGAATGAGGCAAACAAGTACAGGACCACAGAAGCCAACGAGCAGAGAGAACTTCAAGAAAAAGGGCATCACTCCATTGTTCTGAATAATGCAGAAAAGCCAAGTGCATGAGATGCAAAATGAGAAAAGAATACAGATTTGGTGATTTTTCATGACTGTGGAGAACAGTTTTGGCAGAGCAGTAAAAACAGAAGCCGGGTTGCAAAGTGTTATAAAGTTTAAGCCTTAGGAGGCTGAGGCCTTAAGTATAAACCACTTTTTCAAAAAGGCTGGTTCTGAAACGGTGTGAGAAAGTAGTAGAGTCAGGGAAAACATTTTGCATAGGAATGACTTTTGTGTATTTACAGGTTTAGAGAGAGAGATGTGGGAAAAGAAAGATTGGTTGAGAACACACTAGCAGAGAAGGAAAAATTAATGGAACAAAGTTCCAGGGACTTATCCAGAAAGCCAACTAGGAATAACAGAGTAAGTGCAGGTTTGCTTTTGGTGGTAATGATGAAGGACATGGTTGGAAGGAAAGACAGAAAAGCCAGGCAACAACAGAGAAGAAATGGAAGATCTCCATACCAGTGTCTGCCAGCCCTTACCACTGGAGGGGAGTGAGTCCTTGAACATCTCGTAGAACTGAGTCAGGTACATCACCATAGTCAGCTTGTCAGGCTCCCCCACTGAGGCCATTTCTTTGCCTGTCATGATGGGAGAGATGCCCAGTTCTTTCTCAGCAATATCAAAGGCCAGCTGGTTATTCTTCTCCACATTTTGCTCATCCAAAGAGTCAAAATCTCTAAGAAATGGGATGAGAAAAACATATCAAGAAGGCTTGCTTGTCTTCACACCAGAATACACAGTATCAATGGAGTCATCACCATTTCTTAGTCTTTTAGCTGAAATCCAGGGTGCAATCTGAGGGCCAAACTATTGATCTCACCTTTTAGTCTCCTTTTTACTAAGAAAATGAAAATCATCCTCAAGAAGAAATGATTAAAAATCTACTTAGAAAGGAAAAAAGAGTGGAAAAGATGAAGAACTACTCTCATTTTTCCAGTAACATAAATTTCTTAAAGGGTAAGCTCAAGAAGAGGAACTATCTTTAACATGTATTCTCTTGTATGTTGCATGTCATCTGTACATATTAAATTAATGCTCAATAATGATAAAAATCCTATTTGGATCAGACTGCTTCTAACGGCCTAGGATTATCACTTGCTGTGTCATTAGGACCAAACAAGCTGTTGATGTACTAACTCAGCTCTGGTAAATCTTACTCAGCCTTCTACTCGAAGGGAAATTCCAAAACCTTCCTCAAAAGATTTTTCCATCGCTAAATTTCTTGAGTTTTCCCAAGTATTTAGATTAACCAACACTTCCCACTGGATTTCAAGCTTCTTGCCATTCAATCAAGTAAAGACTGATAGCATTCTTCTTTAAGAGGTGATTTCAGATCAACTGGGCAGGGCTTATTTTGTGTTAACCTACTACTGACTTCCATAGCAAGTTTTTCATTTTTCTAAATGCCTTCTCTCTATAGATTAAGCCTATTAAACCATAGAGGCCTCATCCTGAATGAAGTCATCATAGTCTAAACTGTGCCAAATTACCTACTCGCTGCTTTGTGTTCTATTACAAGGAAATTCCCTAGACCTTCTGGAGGCAGCCTTTGGTTTGTTGTAACAAGAATGCGTCCCCTCCCTCTACCATCCCCCTCCACCTCACCTGCTAGGTTCCCTTCAGTTACTTTTGCCTCCATTTCCTTTTCTTTGGTTCCTTCCCTTTGGAAGAGAACTGATTGACCTGAACCTTCTTCTAAAGCCTTCTGTATCATTCATCACAATCCTTCTCAAGCTAGTCTCTCTTCCTCTCCCGCCCTTTTTTGGTGGGAATGAAAAAGCCCTACTTTCACTTACCATTTACCAACCTCTGCATTAGCTAAGGGATAGGAACACTAGAGGTCACTTAAGTTTATCCAAGCAAATCAGAAACCTCCATTCCTTTTTTTTTTTTTTTTTTTTTTTTTTTTTTTTTTTTGTTCCCCTCCCCCATGGGTTTCTCTTAAGAGAAACCTCCATTCCTAAACCACACTACATAAGGCTATTTTTACCAGCTCTTGCCTCATTAATTTATAACCTATTATAAACAGAAACTATGTTTCTTATGTTTCCTTAAGCAATCATTAAAACAAAGCAAATGCACAAATTTGGGCCCTAATGATAAAAGGACAGGCAGCCAAAATAATTCAACATGCTCTGCTTCTGTTTTTGGATCTTCTTGTTTGGCTTCCATGGGGTAAATCTGAGTGCACCAGTCACTGCAATTGACTTGGGGTCATCCTATTATACTGATTCTGCATTTAGGTGAGTAAAGAATGGCCAAAAGGGAAGATGTTACCGATAGAAGTGGGTAAGGTGGCCTGAATCTTATGGACTGGACAGAGTATGTTTGTAAAAGGTGCAATTCTTAACAAAGAGATAATACCAATGAACCATGATAAATCGGGTAAGTGTTCATTGTTTTCTGTTTTGTTAGTAGGGACATATTTGCCTTCGGCCAGCCAAATGTTCTAGTGAGGTTTTCCTTATGCCCAACAGCATTTGCGAGACAGCTGGCTCAAAAGAAGAGTTCAACCAGGGGCCAATGAACAGAATTTTCCTTTGTGTGATGTAAACAGGTCCAGGTGGGTGTTAAAACCAGTTTTTGACGTTCTGAGTGCTGTGATTTTAAAATCTCACCTGGATTGAGCTACATGATGCTTGACATACAGTTTTAAATATAACTAAATCAAAATTAATCACTGCTTTCTAGAGTAGCTTGCTACGTAACTCATTGTAGAAAAAAGTACAACATTTGGCTATTTGATAGCAAAATACTCTGAGGTGCTTAGGGAATACAAAATAAAACACAAAGTTTGTCACAACTTACATCAGATCAGGGCGGTATCTATGGATGATCGCACACAGAGCCAGTCCACTTTTCCAGGACATGGTGAGATCTGTCACATTTACCCCTGCATAGCCATCTGTCTGCCTTTGGCACCAACCCAGTAGTTTGCTTGAACGAGCTACAGACTCTAAAACAATAAAAAAAATATCAGAAGTGTGGTCACCTGGTAGCATTGATAGAGGATCCTCTTTGCAATACCCATACCTAATTTGAACAGTTACTAAAGGTTGGGACAAAAGAGCTGTCACGGTTTTCCAAAAGTCAGAAGCTATGTAACTGGTATCATGACAGTAGAATTTTAGGTAGATAAGAAACTACCAATTTACCTAGACTCTGAGGTCAATGCCAGTCACAACGGGGGTTATCTGGCCTTGCTCATGTAAAGCCCAGTATCACTGCCGCATTGTTTGATAGGGACTTAGATGGAACAGCGCCATCTACTGACCTGTCACCCTCCCTGGATAGTTGCGTGGCAGCTAGCTGAGGAAGCTCCTTCCCTTCAAAGCAATCAGGGGGAGTAGAGCAGAAAAGATTCCATTCGCTCTGGCAACATGTTAATCAAAGGCAAACAAAGCCCACTCTTACACTTTCCAGAGTACAGAGCGATTTGCCAAGTGAAGAAACTCTGTAGGATTACATTGGCAAGGCCAAGGACCCCAGACCAGAACAATCAATCCCTCAGGTCAGGCTTGGCATTCTATATTATAAATGATCACATCTTGAAAAGGTGAATACAAGAACACATATGCTTGGATGTTTTCCAGTTTATTGCTGTGCCTTATAAAAATCTGTAAACTGCATCAGAGAAGCTCTGATATGCAGCATTTAAAAGAAGCTGTAAACTCCTATTTGTGTCCAAGAATGTCTGCTCTCTTACTTTTAGCAGCTGGAAATAACTAACCTTCTACGAAGTTCTTTAGTGTTTGGGAACTTAACAAGGTAAAAACTGCAATATCATAAAAATCCTATTTAAGTCTGAAATCCTATTTAAGTTTGAAAATGTATCCTAAAACTACACAGGGAACCACTCCTGGTGTTATTATTGTAAATCAGAAATTTACTTCCGAAATTAATTTTATTCAAATGTCTTCCAAGTCTGTCTAACATGTATTAGTCAACTTCAATACTCTAGGCCCTAAAATGACATTGACAAAGGTGTATTGTCTGCTTAGATGAAAATGTTTCCAACTGCCTGCTGGTTGTGATGTCCACCTTGATATCCCAATAGCATGTCAAACTTTCTCATCCTCCCACTTCCTTCTCCAAACTGATGGCAGCACCATTCACAATGCTCTCTTGACCCATAATGCAACCAAACTGCCAATGCCTATTGATTCTGGCTCTCTCACATAATTAATAATGACAATGACAAAGTGGCTGCCATTTGTGACCACTTGCTGTATGCCAGATGTTGTAATAAATACTCTATACATGTTATAGAAGCCTCATGACTATAGTATGGAGTAGGTATTTGTTAGGCCCATTTCACAGACAAGGAAACCAAAGTTCACAGATGCAAAATAACCCGTTCTTGCCCACACACTTCACAAATGGCAGAGCTTGAACTGGGACTCCATTGCACCCGGCCCCAAAGTCAGAGTTCTTCTAACTATGCTCCATGGCCTTGTCCATCCTCAACAGCAATATCAGATTTAGGCCTTCACCACCATTAGCTTGACTACTGCAATGCAATTCTTTTCTTTTCTTTCTTTCTTTTTTAATGTTTATTTATTTTTGAGAGAGAGAAAGAGACAGAGTGTGAGAGTGGGAGGGGCAGAGAGAGGGGGAGACACAGAATCTGAAGTAGGCTCCACGCTCCGAGCTGTCAGCACAGAGCCCAATGAGGGGCTTGAACTCACGGACTGCGAGATCATGACCTGAGCCGAAGTTGGACTCTTAACTGACTGAGCCACCCAGGCGCCCCCTGTATTTCTTTTTAAGTTTATTTTTATTTTTGAGAGAGAGAGAGAGAGAGACAGAGAGACAGAGAGAGAGAGAGGGAGAATGCATGTGCATGAGTGAAGGAGGGTCAGAGAGAGAGGGAGAGAGAGAGAATCCTAAGCAGGCTCTGTACCATTAGTGCAGAGCCCAACATGGGGTTCAAACCCATGACCTGAGCCGAAACCAAGAGTCAGACACAACCGAATGAGCCACCCAGGCACCCCTGCAATGTACTCCTAACTAGTTTCCCTGCCTCTGGCATTTCCCTTCTCCATCCCATCTTACATGCAGCTGACCAGGCATACTCTGGTTGCTCTTCTTTTAAAAAAAAATCCAGGGGCCCTTCAAGGCACACAAAATACAGAATGGCCTTTATCTCTGCAACTGTATCCTGGCAATGTCATAATACTCAGCTAAAATGCCACTGCTTCTTCATAAAGCCTCCCCCAGAAACCTTGGTTGGTGTATGTGTGTGCACTCACTCCTCTCTCTCTCATCAGCATTTGTATCTGGTTTCTCTTTATATCCTCCTAAAACCTTAGACTGAGGGTTCTCATCCTTGACATTACTGACATTTTTGGCTGGGCAATTCTTTGTTGTGGGGAGCTGACTTGCGCACTTAGGAGGTTGGGCAGCATCCTTGAATGACAATAGCACCCTCTCCTAGTCATGACAATCAAAAATGTCTTCAAAGGCTACCAAATGTTCCCTGAAGGGCAAAATCACCTCTGGTTGAGAACTATTGCCTTATACAGTACTGTGCACACTAATAGCTCAGTACTGACTACTCTGAATAGGTTACTTACATTTCAAAGGTCATTACTTAGGGGGGTCTGGGTGGCTCAGTCAGTTAAGCGTGTGACTCTGGCTCAGGTCATGGTCTTGCGGTCCTGTCTGTGAGTTTGAGCCCTGCAGTGGGCTCTCTGCTGAAAGCTCAGAGTCTGGAGCCTGCTTCAGATTCTGTGTTTCCCTCTCTCTCTGCCCCTCCCTCACTCACACTCGGTCTCTCTCTCTCTCTCTCTCTCTCTCTCAAAAATAAATAAACATTAAAAAAAAATGTTTTCAAAAGGTCATTACCAGAACTCACCATTACGAGTCAACTTTGGGGTAGTTCGGGAATTCACTAGGTTCTCCATTTCCAGATGAATATCTTTTGTTTCTCCAGTATCATATAAATGACGCACCTGGCAGAAAGTTAAAAAGCTGTAAAGAAGGAAAATCAAACACCAAGTAACAAGTTCCCACCAGAGAGCAAAAGACTGAGATAGCAGGTTGGGCAAAGTTCCGATAAAAGTTACAACAATGACATTTAAATGCTTTCTGGAATGTGGTGGGGTTTACATATAAACAAACATATATTAACAGTAATAAGTTGTGCTCTGGGGTGCTTGAGCAGCGGTTAAGGTTAAGCATCTGACTCTTGATTTCACCTCAGGTCACGATCTCAAGGTTCATGGGTTCGAGCCCCATATTGGGATCCATGCTGACAGCAAGGAGCCTGCTTGGGATTCTCTCTCTCTGTCCCTTCCTCTCTTACGCTCGCTCTTGCTCTCTCTCTCAAAATGAATAAGTAAACATTAAAAAAAGAAGTTGGGGCACCTGGGTGGCTTAGTTGGTTAAGTGTCCGATTCTTGGTTTCAGCTCAAGTCATGATCTCACGGTTTGTGAGTTCGAGCCCTGCATTGGGCTCTGTGCTAACAGTGTGGAGCCTGCTTGAGATCCTCCCTCTGCCCCTTCCTTGCTCATGGTCTCTCTCTCTGTCGCTCAAAAAAAAAAAAAAAAAAAAAAAAAAAAAAAAAAGAAAAGAAAAGAAAAAAAAGGTTCTAAAAATTAGCTATTCAGCCTTAGAGGGCCTTCTGATAGTCACTATTGGACCATTAATGTTGCCCATTGACAGCAGGTCTCATGGACCCCTTCTACAGAAGTCTACAGAAGGCTTGAAGCTATAAACTTCAGGCAGAAAGTAAATAAAAAATTACACAAGTACATAGGCAAATATGTTGAATGGGCTGCTTTCTAGAAATTGCTGGGCTCTATGGGATTACTGTGCTTTGTAAATGTCATTCTCAATGCATTTATAAGGCTTTAGACATTCTGAGAAATAACTCAGCATCACAAAAAAATTGACCACCAGTATCTTTTACTTGCAGACGATGTTCTAACGTTCAAAGTTCTTTCAAGTGAATAATCTCATTTACCCTCACAATGATCCTGTGAATAGCAGGGGTTAATATCTCCATTTTACAGATGAAGAAACTGAGGTTCAGAGAAAATGGCATGTCCAAGTCACAAGTGATTGGTGGCAATAATGCAAGTGGAAGTCACATTTCCTGAGCAGTGAACAAGTGCTCTACCCCCTACAACCTGCAATTTTAATTAGGAGGCACGGGATAAAGTCTTAGGTCCACCATTTTTGTCACAGGTGATCTTCTGGCAAGTCATCAACACCTCTCTCCCTTTGCTGCTCAATCTGTTGATGGAAAGTAATACCTACCTTCAGTCATTCCAGAGAGACATATACGTGCATTATGAAAGAAGGGTGGGTATACGGTACTAATAGACACGTTTCAGTGTTTCAGAGGTCTGGTCAGTCCTGAAATGGGCTGAGAGGTAGATAACTGACTAGAAGGCTCTTACCTGGCTTGGACGGAGGAAGTTGATGTTAATATTGGGATATCTGGTGACAGGGTCTATGCTGTATTGGCTGAAGTTCTTACTGACATTCTCAGGGGTGGTCTGAGGCAGCAACCTATAAATACTTTCCCTGCAATAACATACAATATACTCAGAGCAGTGGCAAGCACCATACACCTCTCCCTCTCCTTTGATAACATTCCTATTTTTTGACACTGCCCCTCAAAAATCTGAAGGATATGACAAATCCTCATCCTTGACCATTATTTTCCTCCAAACCTACATTAGCCCCTGCTCCCATTCCCACCACGCCAGTGATTCCACAGACACTGAACTGGTTAAGGGCCGGTAGCAAGGGAAAATACACTGTGGTGGGCTGGGATAAAAAGCCTGATCCTAATTTAAAAGGCAACTAATTTACTGTTTTGTTTTGTTTTGTTTTGTTTTTTTCAAGGAGGACAATATTTAATATTTAAGAAAATTACAGATGAAAAAAGAACTTGCTACCAAAATTGCCCAGAGTTTCTTAAGTAACAGACTTAAAATGCTGTCAACCACCAATTGCACCCAGGAAATCTTATTTCTCTAGTTCTTCTGGTCAAGGCATTTGTTCTTTATTAGCAAACAAATCCTAGGATTCTTAACTTCTTTTGTAATAATCTGCTTCAAAATATCTGACATTTGGGAGTTTGAGAAATGTTTACAAGCAGTTTGGGATTTTCTTTTGAATTCAAAGTCATTTTTTATTTCTTTTCTTATGTTAGTATGTCCCCTGCTACTGCACTGATTTCATTAGTTTAAGTCTTTCTACTTTGACAGAAGATTTAATGTACTATTTTTATGTATTTGTTCATGTGACTGTCATAAAGAATCAGATACTGTCCTTTAATGGAATGCAAAGATTCAGATACTATTTGTCAGTAACAAATTTAATTTGAAAAGGAATAAAAGAAGACCACTTAGATTAAATAATCTTTACATACCTATGATTTTATAAATAAATATCTTGCCTTTCCTTTCTTTAGTACGAAAACATCTTTAATTAAGAAAGGAAGAGAGAGAGAAGGAAGAAAACCTGTAGTCTGCCTGAGGAGCAAACCATTCATCACTCCCAGTTTTCTCGTGGAAGAGACACCTGGCTGCTTTCCATTACCTCTCAGCCAGGACTTCCAAGGGGCTTGTTCCTAGAGACCAACTTCGTACCATCCAGGCAGAGTCCATAGCAGCTAGGAAGCCCCGGGCTATTCCTGTTCCCATTGGCCAAAAAGGCTATGAAGGAGAAAGGAAATGAGGAATTAAATAAATTGTATTTTAAAAGAGGGAAACTAAATTGAGAAACGAAGAAAGTTTGCTGTTGACAGTACTTTCTGGCAACTATTCAGATACTGGGCTTTTCCACTTCATAAACTGGTAGAGGAGCAAATCACAAAAGCTGCAGAATTTCCATCCATACTTAGCATGTCTGGATGCCCTAGAGCCTGTAATCCTTCCCTACTTCCTGGTGTAACTCCTGTAGGGAGCTGACCTATGCTGCAGCATGTAGTAGACCCTCATTCTACAACCAGGGGTACTCACATTTGCTCTTAATTATTATTGTTTCCTTACTATTGCTTCTTCTATAAAGTGCTGCCATCCTTACTACTCACCTCTAGGAGGCTGTCCCCAACCAGAGCCACTAACAACTGGTGTCCATTCTGCTCCCGCACCAAGGCAGCATTCTCAGAGGCGTACATACAAGTGAAGTCGAACATGGCCACGTCAGGCTGCCCATAGTGATTGATGGCAAAATCTAGAGACGGCAGCTGCTGCTGAGTGGAGAAGTCCGCTGCCTCCCTGGCATAGTTCAGCAGAGCCTCTTGGTCCACGTTCTCCCGGGAAAGCAAGAGCTCTGTGTCGGCATAGTCCTGTCTCCAGAGAGAGAAGCAGCTTGAAAGACAAGCCCAGCAAGAGCTACACTAAACATGTCAGACATAAGCTAGTTTCACAGCTTTTCCTTTCTTCTTAAAGTGATTTCATATCCCAAAATAAGTCTTCTACACAACTTAAAGAGAAAAGAGGCAGGCTGTTTCCTTCTTTTTTTTCTTTAAGGAGGCTTCACAACCAGTGCAAAGCCCAACGTGGGGCTTGAACTCACGACCCTGAGATCAATACCTGAGATGGGATCAAGAGTTGGACTTTAACTGACTGAGCCACCCAGGCACCCCAGGGTCGGGAGGCTGTTTCTAAAAGTACAGACTTGGGGCACCTGGGTGGCTCAGTTGTTAAGTGTCTGACTTCAACTCAGCTCATGATCTCACAGTTCGTGACTTCGAGCCCCGAGTTGGGCTCTGTGCTGACAGCTCAGGGCCTAGAGCCTGCTTCAGATTCTGTGTCTCCCTCTCTCTCTGACCCTCCCCCACTCGCATTCTCTCTCTGTCTCTCTCTCTCTCAGAAATAAAAATTAAAACTTTTTTTAATTAAATAAAAGAGCACAGGCTTTGGCACCTAAAAACACAGTCCTAGCGTTTCCATTTACTTGGAGCAAGTCATATTTCTTTGATTTTGCCCAATCCATCTCTTAGAGTTGTTTTGAATACCAAATAAAATAATTTATGTGATGGTACTTTCTAAACTGAAAAGATATTTTATAATTTGTTATTATTGGCAATCATTATCTTCTGGGTAGCAAACAGCTTTTGGCAACCGGGACCATATACAATATTTAGCACTGCATAATTTATCAAATGCAAAGGGAGTACCCGAAAGCTCCAGTGCCAAAGATATAATGTGGCAGCAACAGCAGTTCCAGGGGGCTGGCAAGAAATAAACTGAAGATGTAACAGAGGTTTTCAAAATAATACATAAGATTCTGAAAGGCTTCAGAGAAACCCAGCAACAAAGAAAAACAACGATGAGAGGAAAACGGGCTTTCCACATAAAGAAGTGAAAAACTCCTTTTCTGTTTTGGGGCTTCCTGGCTAACTGAGCCAAATCTTTACTCTTCTAACATGGGGCCTAAGGTTTGTTTCCAAATGTCCCTGATGGTGCTTTAGGCTAGCACTACAAGATGTTAAAAGTCAAAACACAAATACTCAAGTTGGTCCTTGAAACAGTGTTCAACATTGAGTAAGTGACCACAATGGGTTTAGTACTTAGCAGCACACATAGAAACATGGCCCCTGCCCTCTAAAAAAAATAAATGAAAAGCAAGATTATTCCTACATATAGCCATACCTTGGAGAAACTGCAGATTCCGTTCCAGACCACTGTAATAAAGTGAATATCGCAATAGCGAGTCAAATGAATATTTTTGGTTTCCCCGTACATAGAAGTTATGTTTACACTATGCTGTACTCCATTAAGTGTGGAATAGCATTTGTCTAAAAAGAAAACAGCCTACCTTAACTAAAAAATGATTTATGGCTGAAAAATGCTAACCATTATTAGAGGGTTTAGCAAGTTGTAATCACTGATCACAGATCATCATAACAAATGTAATAATGGAAATGTTTGAAATATTGTGAGAATTGCCAAAATACGACACAGAGACACGAAACAAGAAAATGCTGTTGGAAAAATGGCACCAACAGACTTAGTGCAAGATTGCCACAAACCTTTAATTTTGTAAAAAAAAAAAAAAAAAAAAAAAAAAAAAGGCAGTAACCGTGAAGCACAACAAAACAAGGTGTGCCTATAATTTCAACTGATAACCACAGTTCTGCCTAAGATGGTAGATTTGTCTTAACTTAGTCCCAAGGCATACCACCAGGTTCATTGGCTACTTCTTATTGATAAAGCATCCAACCAAGTATACCTTGCTTATGTTTTTGGCAGAATGGGCTGTACAAACTGCTTTGCCCTATTTCTGCTTATATACATAAAGGAACACAAGGCAGAGAAACAGATACAAGGTCCATGAATGGAAAAGAGACTGTGCTGCAGGCACGTGCTCATTGGCATGCCCCCAACACTGCTCTCAGATAAGGCAACAGTGTAATTCAGTGACATGATTCATTATCATCCTGAAAAGACAAAAGGCACCCTGAAATTCAGGCTTCAGTCTGTGGTAAGAACTGTACAGGTCTGAATCAGCACATCTGGTGCCTCTTCTATCCATTTCATCACATGGGGATAGTAATTCTGATTCAGACTGAAGACCAAATAGGACTTAAGAAACTCTCCTTAAAGAGCCACTACTCTGTGGTTCTCTGATTTCATTTTCTGCTCATCATCTTAAGGAATGTCCTACAATTATTCACTTAGAAAAAAGGCTGAGCCAGACCTCTTATCCATTGTTAGATCATGAAGAGGTCAAAATATACCTTGATCCAGTCAGTGTTCCCTAGACTTCTGATAGTTGTATCTGCAGGAAAACCAGAACCATTCTCAGGCTTCCAGGTCAAACTCCCTTCCCCCCTACCACCTTCTCCCAAAATACGACCTATTAACCAACCAATAACCAGTCATACATGGAATTAACTATAACCACAAACCAAATCACCTAAAATTAAACTGAGTATCAGAGATAACTGAAATCTGACATTTGCTTTAGAACAATCCAATGGCAGGAGTGGGGAGTGGGGTGAGATAATATTGGCCACATAATTGTTAGAGCTGGAAAATGGGCACATGGGGGTTCATTATACAATTCTCTCTAATTTTGTTTACATTTGAAAATTTCCATAACAAAAGTTTGGTTTTTTTTTTTAAGTTAAACTAAAAAACATTAGAGGAGTTCATGTTCCTAGGAGGTGAGATGGGTGCTCATTTTCATACCCTTGAAGGAAAAACTCATCAGACAATAAAATTCTTTCCCTTAGTGGTCACATTAACTAGTACGACATAAAAAGAAGTTTGAAAGAATACATTACTCACATGCAGTATCACCCCTTTGTCTAGCAAACTCTGCTTTTTGGCTGTCATAACAAAATAGTGTGTATCATCTTTGTAGTAGACAATATTCTCCAAGTCGATACCTGCAACCAGAAAACAAATGTGTCACATAAGGGCTTGCTGAAACGAAGGTACATTAGGGCAGCCAGAAAGTTGTACACAGGCCCACAGAGACAAGGGCTGTAAAACTCCAGGAAGAGAACATGAAAATAAAGAGACGTCTGAGCCCAGATTTTCACTTCCTGCATGTTCAGTTCATGAGAAGAGGGGGAACTTTGTTTTATACCTGCACTATCCTATAATTCACTTGATACCCTAAGGTATCCTAAAAACCATGAATAGTAGGCAGAAATATATGGATTTGAAAAAAAAGGAAAGGCTAACTTCTAGTAAGAGGGTTTGGGTTGGTTCTCAGGTTAAACCTCTTAGATAGTCATCAAAGCAACTGGGAAAATCTCTTTGGCTTTTAATAGGACAACTAGATGCCTGGAAGCAGAGTATGAACTACTGACTTTTTAATTCAATTAATCTACAACATTGATGTAATTAATGGAAAGAAATCATGTTCTAGAAGATGGAACTGAAATTTGCTGCATGTTTTTGTTGGATCAAAAATATCAAAGTTAATGTATTCAAAAGTTATCACACAACAATCTCATTCCTGTCTAGCACATGGTTTACTTCATGCCCAAACTGGACCACAAGACTGTATACTCAAGTGTGTAAAGTCAGGTTCTCAGTGAACCAGAGAACTATCAACCAATAGCTTACTGCATTGAGCACCATCACTCAGAGCCATAACATAGGGGAAGGGCTTGGAGAAGAGCTGGTAGAAGACAGAATGAACCCTTAAAAACAAATAAATAACTAAACCCAGAGCAGCCCTGTCACTGTAAGGAAGACAAAGAACACTAGAGTAGGAGATAGTGATAAGGAAAGCATTATACTAACAACAAAGTATAGAAGTGAAGAAAGAGCAGAGGGGCAAACAAGCAATAATAGCAATGACCACCCACCCACTCTACCAAACCCTCTAAGAGAAGAATCACAAGCAGTTATTTAAATTTTTATCCTAATTGCTTTGGAGGCATCTATACCAACCTGTGGCTTCTCTCAGTTCCTGGAAAAATTTTTGGTTGAAAATAAAAGCCACACCACTGATCTCTTCCACTTTGGCTTCTGCTGTTGTATTTCGGTTAATAAAATTTGCTGTAATGGCAATTGCCAATTTGCCACGAAATTCTTTCCGGCGAAATCCTAGAAGGAAAGACATTTTCAGAGGTGGCCACAGCTTGCTAGAAAAGAAGGAAGATCACTTCAAACAGAAAGGGATGCTGATGAAGACATTAGGGAACATGAGGGATGGGAATCAATGGGAAAATTTTAGGGCAATTCTTCTCTATCTGAAAATAAGGTTTACCTGCCAAAAAATATAAGAGTTCAGGAAAGAAGTCAAAGTCTCCCCCATACTAACAAGCAATATGAAATCTAACTGACCAGAATATTACTTAGTGCAAAGGTTTCCAAAGGAAAGGAAAGGAAAGGAAAGGAAAGGAAAGGAAAGGA